AAGTAATGAGACTGGTCGATTATTATTTGGTATCTCATGATCTCCATCTTTTGGAAGTGGAATGACTTCAGATATTTTCCACGCTGCAGGAAAAACTGACGATAATAGGGATCGATTTACAATGTCCGTCAGCACAGGCAGAATGCAAGGGAGCGCATCTTTAATCACAGACTTTGTGACTTTATCAAACCCCGGGGCTTTATTAGACGAAAATGACATTACAGCTCTACGAATCTCCTGACTAGAAACAGCGCGGAAATTAAACTTCTCCTCGTCCGGAATATATTGTCCACTAGTGAATTCGTTTGGTGGAGACAGTTCATAAGTAGCAATCAAGGTTTATGATGCCTCTGATGCTTTGGCGCCAACAGATACAAAAAACCCGTTAAACTCCTCTGCAACTAACTAATACAGAAATTATGAATTCTATCAGTTTGTGATATTCGGTAATAGTTTGAAAAATCTTAATCTTAACATCAGGCGGAGCCATCCTCAACTGCAAGGGTGCGTTGTATCAATATATGAGTTAGAGAAAAATATTTCCCGCCGGAGCTAGCAAGAACACGATAAGACCGGAATCCATAGACAAAGCAATCCCCTCAAAGAATCGTCCTCCTATATTCATTATTAGAAAAGTAAGAAATTGCCTCTCTGTCATGCAAACACCCAGATGCTTTAACTCGAAGGATACTGCATTTGCCGCCAATAAAGTCTCGTTGAATACTTGTACCGTTAAATGGTAATTACTCACAAATTATTGCTATTCTTTCCACGAAGCAAAGCGATAGTTTCTGCATATTTAAAGACATAACATAGAGTATAAAATGAGTTTTGCTTTCTGCGGCAAGGGGCCCACCGCTTTTTTTCGCTAAAAACTGGCACCTAGTGAAAAGTTTTATCGCATGCAATGTTCGTCCAATTCAGACCAGGATCTTTTACAATTTTGCCATCGTCAATGAAGGACTTTTCAGGAACTGAAACCTTTTGAATGTTCTTGTCGAGCACAAATAACAGGTAATTAATAACAATTGCATTTGCAATAAATGTTGCGGTGTTGTCAATAAACTGACCAGCACTTAAGCCGTGCAAACTTACCTAAAATCATTCATTACACAAATAAGCAGTTACAGACAGTTCTTTTTCGATTGAGTAAATAGACGAATGAATTTCTGTCAAAAAAGTGAGATACATTTTGCTAAAACTGTTTTCAGGAGACATGTTTTAACAAAGAAAAAAAAGGCAAAACTCATTACAGGTTAGTTTTTATTTTACTCGATACTAGCTCAAGAATTTCTCAAATGAATATCAAACAATTAAAAAATAGAAAACTAGCTTGTCTTGAGCATTCCAACCAAGGTAATATGCTTTTATAGGCTTTAAAAAGCAGAAAACATCTGACTGCATTTTTATTTATGGTCCATTTTAGTTACGTTTTTTTTTTGTATGACGCAAACTGTGGATCATATTTCAGGAAATTGTGATATTGACTGTTACAGTTTTCACTCCGGCATTTTTAGCTTTCCTTTGCATAACAACTCCTTCCTTCCTTCCTTCCTTCCATAGACTTCCGGAGTTTTGTGCACCTTTTTCCGGCTAATTATTGTTGAAGGGTAATTCTTTGTTTCAAATGTATAATACCATGTGATAGCATTCTTCATATGAATTTAAGAAGCCTTAAAATTATCGAAAAAATTCCGAGTCCCCATGAGGAATCGAACGTCAGACCTTCGGAGTCCGCGCTCTGGACAATTATTGACGACAAAGTGTGTAAATTAGCTTTACGGGTAATTGTTTTATCCACCTTAGATATTACCTCTTTATCTGAAGAAAAAAAAAGCATTTTAACTGGCTTTTTTTGAACAGAGAATGGTTTGCATTTATACCCGGACTTTTTTTCTTGGCAAGCAAAATATAAAAGTACGAATGGACTTTTTTTTTATCTGTCGAGTCAATTGCGGAACTCCGACCACCGATCACGATCAAATTTACATTTGACAAAACATGCTCTCCTTGGTTTTTTTGCAATCAGTTCCACACCATTTTTCTTTCTTTCTATTTTCCTGGCAAGAATTCATTTATCTTTATTTTCAGTGGGGGCAAAATGATATTCATCCTTCGGTCTAAGCCATGAGCAAATGTGGATTGACTATCATTGAAATGTAATGAACCAAATAAGCTCATCACTACCAGTGACGTAACTGATAAACATTTAGGAGCGTTTCGCTTGACTTGATTAGTTTAGCGAGGGGACACCGTTAGTAGCGAACGAAGAGAAAGCCGGTGCAAGCTATCATTAGGTCATTATTATAAACTAATATGCCGAGTGTGCGTAAGGTTGCCTGACTAGCCCCAACGAGCGAGTCGAAAATTCAAGTTGTTGTTTCCCCAGGAGCGTTAGTAAGGTTTTTTGTTCACCCTAAGTGGTTGATGACTTTTGAACCATAGCATGTGACACGTTCTGCTACAGTCAGGTTCTGCTACAAGTTGGGTGTATTCTGTCATGCTTCGTTGTATTCATCATGCTTAATAATAATAAGTTGTCGCACTTTATAATAATCACCGCACTTTGTAACGTAATAAGGTGTCGCATTTTGTAATAAAAGAGCTGTCGTACTTGGTGATAAGAAAAACTGTCGCACTTTATTTTAAAAGAGCTGTCCCACTTTGTGATAAGAAAGATCTGTCGCACTTTGTTTTTATTAAAAAAAACTGTCGCTCTCTTTAATAAAAAAGGTGTCGCACATTGTTTTAAAAAAAGAACTGTCGCAGTTTGAAACAACACGTGCCGCAATTCGTAACAAACTTTAATATAAATGGAGAGCAAGTAGACCCAACAATGGTAATAATTTCAATAATAATGATAATAATAATAACAGTTATGTTGATAATGATAAGGATGAAAATGATGACAATAATAATGGTGATTATTATTTTAGACAACGGTCTATTTCTTTACTGAGCTCAAAACTTACCATCTCTCTTATTTCTATCTATAAAAATTACGCTATCGATATTTCTGATCCTTGCAGCATGCAGGACGCGTGTCGAATGAACTTCGTAATAGACCTCGCTCACCGTGGAGTCTCTGTGGCTCAGTGGTAGAGCATCAGAGCGCGGACTCCGAAGGTGTGACGTTCGATTCCTCATGGGGACTCGGAATTTTTTCTTTGTCCCACACTCGTGACAAGATGAGAAAAAACATCTTTCTCAATAATAATGATATTAGCATTAACCCTCACCAAAGACACCCGCTGCATATTCATATTCATTTTCGTTACCCTTCAACCATCTACCAAATTTAGACAAAGTGCGTCGAGTTAGTACAAAGTGGGTTAGGTTTCATAAGATGCGGCAATTTTGCTACAGGCATTACAAAGTGCTACAATTATTACAAAGTGCATCAGAAAAGGGTGAAATAACAAAACTTTTTATGCAGTTCATTAATGGGGCACTCTTCAATTAGGATATAATCATGTGAACAGCAATAATAGCATTTACGGCTGATCAATTTTACTATTTGTTCACCTTATCCAAACTAAATTTCCGTGCTTTAAAGCTAGTAATCTGTCTGCTGTCGGAAATTGCTTGAAAAGCTCCGTTGCATCTATTTAGGTAGGCCACGGATGAAATTGCGGATACTGTCAGAAACATGTAAACAATAGCAAATGTAGAATAAAAAAAAAACCTTTATTCGATCTGCCATTCAATTTCAAACAAAAACAAAAAAATTGTTGTTTACAGAGGACATTACTGAAACATTCTACGGAACAAACATATAAGGTAATCATTTGGTAGGTTTCTCTTTTCAATCGGAAAAAATGCCAAATTTTAAAATTGTGGACACTGTCAGAAACATGTAAACAATGCCCAATGTAGAAAAAAAAACTTCTCTCGATCCGGCATTCAATTTCAAACGAAAACAAAAAACTGTTGTTAACAAAGGACATTACTGAAATATTCTAGGAAACAAACACTGAAGATAATCACTTGGCAGGTTTCTCTTTTCAATCTGAAAAAATGCCAAATTTATTTCAATTTTAGAGTCTCACACTCTCAAAAATAGTTCGGCCTGCAGAAAAAAGATATTTGTCAGGGGTTGACGTTTCGTCGAAATTGGCTGATAACCTAAAAGAGGAGCTCGCATTCTTTTCCGCTTGCGTCGCGCATTGATGAAATTAGTGGACGGAACCCGTATTTTGGCTGTTTCCTGTGTGGTGAACTAATTAATGGTCTATTGAACTATAACAGTGTTTACAGGCTACTTTTGTTCCCCAGAAGAAAAAAGAGCTAAAGTTAAGACGTGTTCCTTAGAGTTGCGGAACCTGTTAACTGTGGGCAAGAACTTCGTTGCAGTTACTAGCAAGGGTAGGTTGTTGATGAAATCGGGGGCTAAATTGTTGGAAGTACGTGAAGTAAGTGAATGAAAAAAAACTTGAGTAAGGCATGGTTTTATGTAAGTTTGTACCGGCCCCAGTTTGCAATATATTATGAGACCTTTATTGCGATTATTTCCAACTAGATGTACTTCATGAGAATATTTCCCTCTCAAATTCGGCAGAATAGAACTGTTGCAATGACCAGGGTTTGTGATTATGAAATACCCTCTATAAAGATGGAAAAATTGCTATAAATCCTGGTCTTAATGAATAAATGCAGTTCATATTATTAATGACACATGGGGTTCAGGTTTTAAATAGAGAAATTGGAGGATCACTTGCCACAGAGAGTGATTGTATAAAACACTCTCTGCTATCATTGCTTTTTCATTGCAGCAGTTTTCCTTATGTCTTTGAATAATGGCATCTGCATATGACATCATTGAGCTTCGATGGAGGAATAGCAATAATTTGCCGTATATTTTTTAAAGGATAAACCACCATATATATTCAATAGGAGAAGTAGTCTAGTTCTTACTCAAGAAAATATCAACAGTTGATATTCTCTTATTCTTACCTTAATAAAATCTGTTTCCAGCTGTAAAATCTTTCAAGCCAAAGCACATGGGTGTCTACATGATGGAGAAGCGATTTCTCACTTTTCTGATAATGAGTACAGGTGAGACGCATTCGAGGTTAGGGGAAAAAATAAGTAGTCACCCAGAAAAGATAAGAAGACAGGCGTCAAAGGTTTATATATATATATATATATATACATGCTCACTAGTTTTTCTAGTTTGAGCACTCTGGCATGGCTTAGATGATCCCACATGTGTGAGATCACTTGGGGTGCCTTACCTCCCTCCTAGCATCAGCACTGCACTGATGAGGCCCAGAAGGCCGAAACAGTACTGTCTGCAATTAGTTATATATATATATATATATATATATATATATATATATATATATATATATATATATATATATATATATATATATATATATATATATATATATATATATATATATATATATATGATGAGTGGATGAGTGCAACAGACCTGTAGGGATGAACTTTTAGTTTATTTGTCTTTTTCCTCCCACAATATATACGTCGCTCTACTCCTATGTATTGAGCACTGTTTTACGAAAGTCAAAATTTTATAATTTATAACATGCATAACATAAACATTGTTAAAACTTTCTTTAATAAATTTCCAAAAGATAGAGTATCACATATTGATGGTGTGCTTCTTACTCGAGTAAAATAGCTGGTTTCTGTTACTAATTCCGCAACATGAAAATAGACTCTTTCTTTATCATTCAGTACTGCAGATACTTGTTCAGGATGTGACGTAAGTATGCCAGAATAAACTATGCACCCTTGTTTTTGTATTATTAGCAGAACTTGTTCCTGCACACACAGAAACAAAATATTGAAAAGCATTTGTTTTGAATCTTCCAGTTCCATCGCTAACTGGCATGGTCGTATAAATTTCCGTCGTTCAAGACGAAACACTGTTCGAGCAACCTTAAAAGTGCCTTCAACAAATGCCCCTGCCACAACATTGCGCACAACTGGTAGAGTAATAGCAAGTAGCGGTTTTACAAATACACAGGGTGTATCTGATAGTTACAGTTTCTCAAAAAAGAAAATTTCAAAAAGTACACCATCAATTGCCAACGATCCAAAAGGTACAGCGCTAAAAGTCGAAACCCCAGCTCTTACTGAAGAAAATGATAATACAAGCGCCACCTTTAATACCACTCAATGGCCAGCAACAGCAGTCTCTGTAGGAAATGCATACGTTAGTCGTAATAATGATGTGAACATAACCCGACCTGCACCTTCAGAAGCGTCCAATGTGAAAATATCCAGGAATGATAACATCGCTAATTACAGCGGACAATATAAAGGTCAAAGTCACGACAAGACTCAGGTAAGATTTTTACGAACGATTTCTGTAACAAGTATGAGCATACATAAATTCAATTTACTTCAACGTTCTAACATCACCACCATTGCCCGAGACATAACAGCAATATAGCATAAAAATGCGAGGAGGTATTCCTTTTATCAACTTAGAACAAGGTCTTCTGTTTTTATTATTTTTTATTATTCTTTGCTTAGTCGAATTCAAGTTACCTAACTGAAAGGAAATATTTCTTTCAGCATTCAGATAAAGCACGCATTCAAAAGATACAAGAATTTCTCGAGGACAATGGTTGCTTTTCAGCCTCGTTTGACAAGGTGAGAAATGTATGTGGAACTGGGCTCACTGACAACGTAACTTGCACTTTGCTGACTTTTTCTAAAAGAAACATATAATTTTAGAAATATATAGACAAAATTCATTGAATCCCCTATAAAAGAAATGTTCAAAAATATTATTTGGGTTAGGGTTAGGGTACATGCTTCAGTTAAAAGGCAGGTAGCAAAAGAGGTAAGATTCACGATGGCAATAATTTTTTTGAACAACAGGAAACAGAGGAATTCATCTTCGAGAACCCTTCAAAGGGATCAATGAGACACGGTCAAGCTCTGAACACCCTTGAAACGACACTCATGAGTATCTCTATGACAGCAGAAGTAGTTTCCTTAGCATTACTCGTCGTTATAAGGTATGTAAGTAAGTTCAAAAGAGCCAGTATGGAGAACCTGAGGCTTTTTAGGAGTCGGCACATGAGACCACTTTTCAGTATGTTAAGGGAGATAGTGGAAGGAACTTAGATGGACTCGAATACAATGTAAGGTTACAGTATTCCTATTAACTTCATGCCACAGAAGCCGAAGTAAATCCCAGGTGGAATGGATGGGCTATCAAGCTTGAAAGATAACATGATTGCGTTTTTCCTGGTATTTTTCTTTTTGTTATTTCGAAGAAGTATCACGATTAAGGTCGTGTTTGAGAAATGTTTGTTTATTCTCGGGTATCGTACAAATCATAATAAAGAGTTCGATTGAATTTTCTTTTCATTGTGGTAGAGTTTCAAAGTCGGAGCGGATTTTCGTGCACAAGAATCTGCTCATATCGCTGGCTTTTGGACAACTGGCTTACATTCTTGACATAAATATCTTCGCATCAAGGAACTTACATCACGTAAGTACAGAGAATAGGCAATAAAGTTGAAAAAAAGCGATAACTGTAAACTGTTATGTCTAAATGTTTCTTAACTTGTTAGATTGTCATGCTTGCTCATAAATTTTATTTCGAGTAGCGGAGTGGTGTTTAAGTTAACTGATTAATAAACCCAATGATGAAAAGCAACTGCATGACACCTTTCTGCATAAGATTTAAGATTAATATCAGGGAAAGTGACACCGGGACCGTACTTAGTATCTGGGATTCCACCGCCATTACGAAAATCCAAGTGCCACTGAAGAAGTTGATGCTGTTCTTTCTTCCATGACTGAACCCAGTTAATTTTTAGCTCGTTCATGTCAGTCAAAAAAATTGAAGCTTATTGTGAGTCTAAACCTAAAACTATTACAAGGAAAGTATCAAGGAATGATTTACTACGAAGAGCTCTCACAGTACACTGTTGCATTTAACTGTTTTTATATTTTCGAAACGGTTCTCCTTTTCAGACCATATGCTCTGTCATTGCTGCCGTCCAGCACTATCTCTATACTTCTCTTTACACTTGGATGTTGATTGAAGCAATAAACCTTTACTTGAAGATAGTGAAGGTTTTCTCTTTTGGAAAGTCATATGCAACATACAGCTTGATTGGATGGGGTAAAGTAATGAATCAATTTTAAATAGGAGAATTGCTCGACAGTGCTAAGTATAACTCTGTGAAAATGCGCTAGCTTTGCTGTAGTGCTATTGGCTTTAAAAATCAAATAGCGCTCGTCAATCATGATTCGTCAGTCTCAGTAAGTTGGTCTCTCTATTCAGTTCCTAACAATAGTCTATTTTACATTTGCGTGCTTGGTTGCCAAGCCTTTGAACCGGAGTGAGGCGAAGAGTAACCTTGATACAAACGTTGATGCCTTTCAAATACAAATTACTTTGTTATCATACTAATTAGATACTGGTCTCTATTACAACAAAGTTACCTCCTGCCTCACTCCAAATCAAAGGCTTGGCAACTAAGTACACAACTTGAAAATGGCATATTGCAGTGTTGCTAAAAACGCCTTTTTTTCCTAAACGTATAGGCATACCAGGACTCATTGTTGTTTTGATGGCAGCAATCCAGCCTTCAACATACGACATGAGTACAATTTTGTACAAAGACATTACGTGTGGAACACTCAAACTCAGGGGGACTGAGGAAAGAGAAAGGTATCTTATTCAGTGGAAGAAAAAGGAGATAAAATGAAGTAAACAACTATATCGAGTCCATGGTGAATCACAGTAGTAATCTTTAGATACACAACGATGTTAGATGTTGTATTCAACGTAGTCAGACGAAAACCTTGACGGTAAAATGACACTGAGAATTATTTGTTGTAGCAGACAAATACGAAAATGTGACAAAATTGTAACGTAGGAAGATGATTTCAAGATGCCTTCCTTGTAATCAAAAAGGAACATATTTCTTTAAGGAGTGAAACTGAAGATAGGCTATCTTCATTTTGTAGACAGCTATGCTCGCCATTGAAGGCTCATTCAAACCAAATGTAAAGATCTGCATACAACTTTTGGCCAACTTAACTTCCTTGTCCGTGTAAACTGATGATTTCAATGTTTATGGTTTCAGATGTTGGCTCAACGGAAGTATCTGGAAATTCAAAGGACCCGTGCTTGCCATGCTTCTGGTAAATTTTGAAGTCATTGTTGCCCTCCAACAAAACAACATATAGCACTTAAAACACCTCTGGGCGCAATTTCGGGTTTTCATCGTCCTCATTCAACTATCCTTGTGGTAGACTTGAATAAAATTTAAAATAATCCTGAGAGGTTTAAAAACTTTTGCTAAAGCTGTTTTCTTTAGAAATCTTAAAAATCATAAATTGATTGAGACTGCAGGATTCGCAAAATCAATTTCGAAAGTTTAAAAACGTTTGCAAATGTTTTTAAGGGTCGCGTTTTACTTTTCTGGCTTTGTTCCTTAATCGGCTGCGTTCCCAACTTTGAAAGAACTTTGAGAACTAAGAAGATATAGCTATTAGGACCCGGATTCTCAAAGTCACGTGCAATAAGCGAGTATCAGGCCGCAGTTTTCTTCAAATTAAGTTTTAAAAAAATTCAATACAGAATTTTCAACGTATGAAGCTCAACCAACGTTATCTCTTCGTAGCCTTGATTTCTTTTCTAGAAGTATGAGTGTTATTTAGCAAATTTTCTTTTTATTCGGGGCTCCAAATGAAACTGCAAGGACACCGATCGAGATAAAACTTATCTATGCATGGATTTGTCTATTAGGCTTGGCTATGTATGCCTACACGCGGCCTACCGCAGTCATAATGGCGTAGAGACGTCTGTACTGTCATGACGTCTCATGAATAAATTTTTTCTGGCTACCATAAATTTTCTAGCTGTTTAGCCTTTACTTTGATTTAAGATTCCTATGAAAAAATACGGAATTGATCGATTCTGTGTTTTAAAAAAATATTTTTGCTGTCATGACGGCAATGTTAACGTCTTCAATCCAAACATTAGGCGTCTAAAACATAGGCTGCTTTGCACATGTGGGTAAATTTTGTTTCGTTCCTTGTCATCTGTGACAAGATAGGAATGACTTGGTTCACAGCCTTTAGATAACTTGATCGGTGATATGATACTTGATACTTCATCAGACGTTTAGAGGAAATGGTAGCAATACTTCTCATCATTTGAACTTAGAAAGAGGAGTAACCTCTAATCATCACATGTTTAACATTAGCACACGGGTATGCCTTCTGTTATCGTAATGACGTCTGTCTTTTGTCTTCTTCTCAGGCAAACCTTGCGATCTTTGTTATTGTTCTGCGAATGAGCTTTGGGAGGATTGGAAGCACAAGTTATGCGCAGACCACCAGGTAAATATATGTGGTTACCTCAAGTCATACACGCTTCATTTATGTGTATTTCGTTAATCTTCTACATTTTCACCCAAGGAGGAAGGTACTGATTTTTCTACAGCGACTTGTCTACTTACGACGATGGGAAAAAAGCGCATGAAAAAGCGAGCAGAAGACAGTATAGATTGTGTGCATTTATCATATTTAATGCCATTTCTGCATTGTTTAAAGTGAGCACGCTAAGACAAAATAATTTTCTTTCATTTTTTCCTAGTGCCACGTTCAATAGATTTTTTTTCTAAGTTGCTAAGGAGCAACTTAATTTGGAAGAATTTTAGAATTTAGTTAGTGCTAGGTTTAAGGATACGTACTCCTTCTACACCACTAAGAAGGTTCTAACTAAAGTGCAATTGAGGCCTTTCTTTCTCTCCAGGAAAGGACTAAAAGCTATCTTCGCTTTGCTTCCACTGTTGGGTGTGACATTTTTGCTGGGCTTCTTTGTTGATTTTCATGTTGCTGTGGAATACGCCTTTGTGTTACTGAATTCAATTCAGGTAAACTGCATGACGGGATTAGATAATATTCCTGTTTTTGTGGTTGCTTTTCATGTGACTTCGAATTCTTAGTCTTAAAAATGGGCGAACAGAAAAGTAGGAGAGACGCAGCAATAAATAATAAACGAAAGATGTACCAGGATAGTTTGTCGTTAGTGGGAGTAAAAGAAAAATAAGTAATCCCCATGACGATTCGAAATCCATCGGAAAAAAAATGCAAAACCATTCAGAAGAGAGTTGTTAACGATACAACCACCTTAGGATGGATTGGTGAATAAGGGCGTGTTATCTATGAAGTACCCAACGGCTGTACGGTTTTAGACAGGTAGAGTGACAACACAACGGCAGAGCCGGTGCATAGTGTTGGGCACTCATTTATTGGAAAACCTCTCTAACTTCATTCTTTTTAAAAAATGTTAGGGTGTGCTGTTCTTTATCTGTCACTGTGTACTTGATGATCAGGTGAGCATAAATGCTGATATCAATTTTTATCATTCATCTACTTATTTGGCTACATGTCTGTTGCTTTTTTATGTGTTTGCTTTTTGTTGTCGTTGTTGTTTTTTTTAATCACGGGACTTTGAACGAATCTGAATCGAAGTGTAAGCTAAAACCAAGTTAAATGTATTTGAAAGGACGGAACCTACACGGAACCTACACGAACCTAATACAAGAACATGCAAATTTCCTGAAGCGTGAGAAACCTTTAGTAAGCTGCTCGGACAAAGTTTTATTTCCGAAACTAATTGGTGTGAATTTTTTTCAATTCAGGATTACTTTTGAAACTCAGTAAAGAGAAGTGAACATAAAACAATGATTTACTCTGCCTCTTTACAACTGAGGACAAAGCTTGAGGAATGAAAAGGCTTACAACCAACCTTCATTTAGACTCGTGAGAGCACCTTTACCACGGCTTGCTCTTGCTTTGAGATTATTTCAGTTTGTTATATATTTTAAACTCAGAACTAGACGAATTGAATCTTTATTTATATATTCATTTTGGAATTTACTTCGTTATATTCTGTATGTTGTTAGTAATAAATGAAATTAGGGGATTTTCATTTTCTTTGGAAATGAGTCTTTGATAAGTAGTTGATAAAAGTTTAGGCATATTTCCTAGAAAGTTTAGTCCAAATGCGACAGGCCGATACATGAAATAAGAGATGATTTTTTACCAATCATCAACCTTTTCATTGATCTTTTAGATTCGTGATGCCATGAATAAGATGCTACGTAAGAGGAAACGGGTACACAGTCTCCAGCAATTCAAACAGGAGCCCAAAAAAGCGATAGGAATGGCTAGCAAGAAAACAGCAGGTGGTGTGGTCTCACCTTAATGGAAGTTTTGTTGTTTAGAATAATGATTTGAATAACGCGAACAACTTACCCGTTACCAAAATTAACAATTCCCCAGCGTGCTGAATAACCACAACCTTTCAAGGGAAAGAAATAGATTATCATGGCTAATGAGCGCGTACGATTTCTTTTTTCAGGAGTTGTGAAGAATAAGACGAACGAGGGAGGAAAGAGCGAGTGAGTTCTTTCTTACAACAATTGACTAAGAACTAACCTCCACCACCCCCTCCCTCCCCTCCGCTGGCGGTAAATAGCGACTGGTCCATAAAAAGTAAAAAAAAAAAAATTAGATCAATTAGATTAAACAAAAGAATATCGATAAGGCTGAAAAAATTGTCCAAGGAAGTAATGATTTCAACAAATTTTCACCTTTTAAACATGACTCAGACCGTTCAGAACAAAGAGCGTTTACGTGAAATTTAATTGATCAACTACATCACTGACTGTAAAATTGAATTTATTACATAAATTGCGGCGTTATACAGGGATTTCCGGCCCTGAGAAAAGCCGTAACAAAACACGTGAAAAAATATCGTATTTTTCCACGTGTGTTGATATAGCCAATCAGATGCTGACGTGTCACTCGCCTTTGGCAAAGCCTTCACGATTCTCAATACAAGTTGTTTGTCGGAGTGTTTGTCGGAGCTTTCTCACATTATGGCAGCTAAAACACTAAGAAATCCGTATCGCTGACAGACAGTGAGGTTCAAACTTTCCTACAAGGGGAAGAAAACCAATACACTAAAAGAAAAATCGAAAGTTACGTATTCAGTGGCTTTTGTGTTAGCATTTCTCTCGGCTGAGAATGAAATCGACAACTGGGGGATTTGCCACTGGCTGATTTTGGCCGTTCACCTGAAAAACTTCCTCTGTCGGTGAGGAAAAAGTCAATAAATGAGAATTTTGTAAATTTAAAATTACGACCATTGTTGACTTTGTAATCATGACATTCAACATATTTTTCCATCTTAAGAGTTAGCGCCAACGCACTCTATGATTGTTCTTCTGGGATTCTCAATTCATTTATTTTCATTCATGAATGAGGTCGGCGTTTCTTGTCAGTAAAGGGCTATTGTTTTTATATGATAAACAAAATCATACATGGTTGCTTGTAGGTATAAAATTTCTCTTCTCGTGTTCAACTCGACATCTCACTCGTTCGCTGCGCTCGCTCGTGAGCTATCGAGTTAAACACTCGAAGAGAAATTCCATATCTACGCGCGCCCATGTTTTATTCTCTATATATTTAACATGAAGTGTATTGTATAAAATAACTCATAAGGAAATTAAAATTCTTACAAATCGAAAATTTGTGTTCCTGGTATAGTCAGCGTAAAACTGGAGCAGAAAGAGTATACTTGTGCTAGCGTGACGCGTGATGACTTGGATCTGTGTAGCTCCCACGCTAATCCTAAGGCGGGCGTTTTCGAAGTGGTATACAATAAATTTACCCAAATGCCTACCCCACAAGGCAAGCAAGGCAGGCGAAAAACTTTGTTATTCTCAGTCAATGAAAGACATGAATGTGTGCCCCCCCCATTTCTTGAGAATAGAACGTTAGCGTCAATTCTAGTCATTCTTGGATTTCCAAAGAGCAGTCAGCAAAGTTGGACAAAAGTCAAAGGGTAAATGATCTTGAGCATAAAGAACATCGAATAAGTATCTTCTTGTGAACAATCTATACCGGATTCAATAATTGTTTTAAGCTAACCAGCACTTTCGCCTTACAAACAATTACCTAATAACATGTATTACTTACATCAGCAGTTACAGAGATTTTTTTTCCATTGAGCAAACAGCACAGGCCAGTTTTTAGTTTTACTCAGCATTAATTCAAGCGGCTCAAAGCATATTAATATGAAACGACAATTTTTAGCTGTATTTCAAGCAAACCGATCGAGGAAAACACGCCATTAAAAACTTCAAAAAAAGTAAACACTTATCGGATTGCCTCTTTCATAACGGACCTTTATACCTTGAATTTCATTTTCCATTTATATGATGAACTTCATAAAAGCCATGGATATGCAGAGGTATGATTTCTTAAAAGCTGATGAAAACTGCGGGGAGAGGGGGGAGAGGGTGAGCTTTCAGGAAATTGCTGGCTTGATGTTTGTTGTTACTCTCTTATTCCATGTCTGCTTTTCTAATAACTGTTGATGATACATTTGTCGTGATTTTGCGTAAAAATTCAGTTCTTCCTTCCTTTCGACTTGCTTAATGACTTCCTCTCTTCCTAGGGGCTAGTGCACCTTTTCCCGACTTGCTACAAAGTGCCGCAACCGTTATGAACAAAATGCATAAGTTATTGCAAAATGCGTCGCTATTAGAAGATGCCAGAGAACAGCTATTCATTAATTTAACCATAAAAATGAAATATCATGGCATTTCTTATTCGAGGCCTTTTCAAATTATCCAATGCAGGTTTTGAAAAAGTAATCGTTACTGAGTATTCAGCATCATAAGCCGAAAAAAAATCGGTAGCTTCTTATCTCCTGCATTAGACCAATTCTATATTATTGTGATACAGTGTGGGGTTGGTGCGGAAAGTGAAACAGTCGGGCATTAGCGGCTTGGCAGAAAAGAGCAGGTGGAATTGGTGAGAGAACGACTCACAGCTACAGTTTCGAAGAGCTCCTTTAAACCAGAAAGTTATTCAACCAGAGAGAGACAATATCAATATTGCCTCTTCACTTACATTTAATTTTTTCTTTCACGGTCCTTTTCATAAATTACTGGATAATTGCGAGGGAAATTTATTCTAGCCGAATTTTCTCGAAAACAATGCTAATCTTCAAATTTGTAATAATTACTTAGATACCGTTAGGAATCCATGAAGAACGTAGACGGAACCTTTATTGATTATGCTCAATTTTTTTTTTCCCAGCAGGAAATTAGAAGAAAAGGAAAATGCTGCCCCTTACAGAGAACACCGCTGACACTGAGCACGGGGAAGATTAAGTTTGTAGTGAATTGTAATGAAATTACAGTATATGCGCTTGGATTCTGCGTTGAATTTGTGGCCGCCTGGTCATTTTGAGCTTGGATTTCTCGCTTCTCGGATCGGGCGTTCGGAAATGGAGTGTTCAGCCTTGGGCTTTTCTTATGCACGTTGAAAACCTCGAAATGGACAACTCGCTAAAATGGGTTCTTTTCATTAAAGTAGGCGTTCAGATAACAAGTGATACGCTGTAGAAGTAAGGTGAGGTATTTTTATTGAGAATTTGAAGTATTTTTTTATTCCCTAGAGCGGTCGTAAATACTCCCATACAAAACTATTATAATTCCGCCATGACTGTTATTGCGCAAGATGATCATCTCACAGCTGGAGCTAGGGCCGCCTGTGGTCTAATAGACAATCGCAAGCTCCTTACCTTTAACTCGCCCTCATAAGACGCCTCAGGCTATTTTGAATGCTGAATGTGAAGTTTAAAAGCTTTTACAGGATCCGATGAGTCATTATGGATCTTTCTTTTGTATTTTCAAGCGGCAGAATCGTGCATTTTTTTTCTATATTCAAACTTATACCCTCTTCTAACTTAGATGGACGGATTTCAGCCAAAAATAGCCCAAATCAGCAGATCATAAAAACTCCTTTATTCGTGGAACAGTACCTGCTGGCTGGACTGAATGCTTGACTGACATAACTCACAAAGGGGTCAGGTCATTTCATTTACTAATCTTAGAAAGCACAAAAATTAACATTATGTAAAAAAGAGGCGCCACTTCGAAAGAAAACCCAGTTTCACTTTCATGTTGATGTCATTGATTGCCGAATGTGACTTTGTTGCTGCTTTTTTATGAAACTATCGACGCCTGCTGCTATAATTCCTGACGTTCTCAAAACGGTGAGTTTAAAAGTTAATATTCTAGATTTCAGTCACAAATATTTAATGCTCAGCGCGGAAACTAAAACATTCGCAACGAAACTATTTCGCAATGGCATCGCTATGATGATTACTGCATTTAACTTAGAAGCATCTCTGAATTTTCAAAGCTGGTACAGTTCATTTCTGCATAACATTCATCAAACAAACGATTTCTTTCTTAAAGTAGCAAGCTAAACCTTAAAAAGGCTATTCAGTGATTGGGTTCATGTTTTGAATGATTTTATATGCATACTTGCTGTTTCAGCATTCATTTACTGAAGGAAACAAGAGGTGCTTACTTGCTGATTGAGTCAAGGAACAGAGTCTTCGGTCGAAACAAAGATAAACCAGAACACGAGAGGCGCATTCAATCAGGTATATGACTGGGTTGTGATTCATGATTTCATGATTGCTTACTTTAATTAGCTGCATGCAAAGAATATCAATGTAAAGGGGTCGTAAAATATGATGTGCGCGCGTGACTCCGTATAGCGTCATTGAACATGTGCAACGAATAAGATAAACTTCTCCTCTTGTTATCCATCCTGAAGACGGCTACGGTTTGTCGTTATCCGTATCTCGAAGTGCACTCATTTTTAAGCACTTCTTCATTAGAGAACTGTTCGCTTCTCGAAACAGATTATGTGTGCAGACGAGTAAGAGAGCATATGTTCACGCCAGATTTAGCCTACTGACTGTTTTGTCCTGATAGTAAAAGTATTTTCAAGGGGCGAAAGAAAGCTGGACTAAAAAAGGAATTAGCGAATAAAAGATATAAAGTACAATTTAGAATAAACAAGAAGGATAATTATAAATTCAACCTATGGCTTTCCATACCTAAAATTACTCGTGTAAATAAACCTTAATTCTTGTCTCTAGTTCTTGTTACCACAGCATAATTTCGAAGGTTCCGACTAAATTTATCGCTTTTGTCCCTGTAATATGTAAGGAGATAAATTCTTCCACATCCGAAAACATAATGTTTTGATTATTCAATCAATCAATTATGTTTATTGAGTCTTCTCAACAAATACCGGACAAGCTCAACCCTGACACCAAGATCCACGAGACTAATTCTAACTTCTAATGGGAGTTTTGCAATTTCTTAGGTCATTTTGAAACCCCCTCTGTGCACTAGGCACTGATGCTTACTGTCGCGAGATGAATAAACCCCTCTGGAACCAACGATTGGTTTCACTTTCATGTTGCTTGTAAACAACAAAACACGGGTCGAGATGCCACGAATAAAGAAGAATTTAAAGTTATCAAACGAGAAAATTGAGTGTGGTGTTTCCATAGACTTTGAAAATTGCTCGTAACTAAGTAATTAGCTCCAATTAGAGTTGAGGATTGATATTCGTCGATGAGGGACAAATGCTGTCTGTTCTGTCATT